GCCCTCCCCAGGCTCCTAGAAAGCCTCTGGAGCCTGGGGAGGGCGAAAAACGGGTCCATCACATGCCAAAAGCAGGGGGGGGAGGGCAGGGGGGGGTCGTACGTGGGTGTGCCCTCACCCATAATGCTGTGCATGTGCCCCTCGCCCTCCCCCCCCTGCTTTTGGCATGTGATGGACCCGTTTTTCGCCCTCCCCAGGCTCCAGAGGCTTTCTAGGAGCCTGGGGAGGGAGAAAACAGCCTCCCCACCCCCTCCCCTGGAGTCGATCCTGAGCCTTCAGGAGACTTCCCTAAAGCCTTCGGAGCGCAAAAAATGGCCCTACGGGCAGCCCAGAAGTCACTTCCACTTTTGTGTGTAGGGCCATTTTTTCCCCTCCAGAGCCTTCAGGAGTCTTCCCTGAAGCCTCCAGAGCATGAAAAATGGCCCAACGCACAAACTGGAAGTCCATTCCTGAACTTCCAGTTTGCGCGTTGGGTTGATTTTTGCCCTCTGGAGGCTTCAGGGAAGCCTCTGGTGGGTGAAAAACGGCTGAAAAAGAAGGGCAAAATCAGCTGGCCAGTGCGTGCATGCGCGCTGGAGCTGACAGGGCAACGCCTCTTGTGCCCTAACAAATGGCTCCACTTACCACCCGTGGTACGTGTGCCATAGATTCGCCATCACAGGACTGGAGGGTGTGTGTGCCCACTTTGGCCTAATACACACCCAATAAGTGCCTCCCTCAATACTCTCAATACTGGTCACCTGACTTTATTTCCAAAATAATGGATGGTAAAGTATAATGCATTTTATGCCTTTTGAGGGTACTACTGGATGGTTTCAGAATAAGGAGGAAAACACAACTTTTTACTTGTACAATTAATGTTGGCTTAAAGCTGTCCCATTCATGAGCTTAGAACAAGACGAAGTGTCATGAGGACAAATTGTTGATATCAAGAAATGTTTGCATCATAGTTAAGTATCTCTATTGTTTTTTCCTGTTGCTTCTTTGATAATGTTCAAAGGGGCATGTGTTCTTCAGTGAAGGACTCTCCTCTGAAAGAAGAAAGGAAATATAAAACAAATCAGGAATTGCAGTACAAATCAAGTCACTTTTTTGTAAGGTGTATCAGCAACAAAGAATTGGCAGGAGCAAGTTTGCAGAAGTTGCTGAGGGAGTTGAAAGCATTTTGTAACTGAGTGTATTTAAGTTCCAGTTCTTGTTTTCTTGTCTGATTCTTGGAGATTGTCTAGACATGTCCCTGCAATTTTCTCAGAAAGTTTTTTTCAGAAATGGTGTGTCATTGCCTCCTTTCTAGGGCTGGGACAAAGTGACTGGCTCAAGGACACTGTCTGGCTATTCTTTCAAGACAGTTGTTTCTAAGAAAACAGCTGTAATCATTGGGCTGGTTTCCTGAAAATTTGATGACATTTGTTTGCCTTGTAATTCCCACAAATTTATTTTCATTTTTCCCTCTGGAGCAAAAGGGAAAACATCAGATCCATTGTCTGCATAATGGGATCTGTTCATTTCTGGATTCCCCCAAATTAGCATGTTTTCATGCCCCCTTTCATAACAAATTGAATCTTTTTTCCAAACTGTATCCATGGAATTTATTTTATTGTACCTTGAGTTGGTATAAAAATAAAAAAGTTGCTAGTTTACCTAAGGGGTGAAATAAACTTACCTTCGCTACCGGTTCGCAAATGTGAGCACATGCTTTCTAGATTAGCTAGAAAGCAGGAAATCTGACGATTCTAGCTAATATAAATTGTGCATCACAGCTGATCGTCGGAAATACCAGTTCGCCCGAACCAGTAACATTTTTTTTCTACCAGTTTGGGCAAACCAACCAAAACCAGTAGCATTTCACCCCTGGCTCACCTGGTTCCTTCGAAATGTGTTGGACTACAGTTCCCATTGTCCCAGTCAGGATAGTTTAGATCACCCTTTCCCTATCTGGTATAACCTAAGTGTGTAGGGAGGATAGTTTCTAGCCAACGTAACTAATTCTGAGAGTAGCAGTTTTAAGTTGGGGAGAATTACGTTAACAGTGCTGCCATTTAGGGCATCATAATTCCCTGCAGTAAGAGATAAAAATGAATGATGGTGCAGAAGTTGAAGTAGATATATTCTTCTTTTCAGGTACTGGATGATCCTGCAGAGGACAATCTATACATGGGTGAGTAATGTAGAAGAATATAAGAAATGGCTATGCTGGAGCAGAGTGACACTGTCTGCTTCATACAGCGCCCCATCCATTTGGGAAACTCAGAAAGAGGACATGAATATAGTTCTACTTATGTTCACTAGCATTTCCACTGATTCAGGGCCATATTCAGAGGTGGTATTCAACCAGTTCGGACCGGTTTGCCCGAACTAGTAGTGCCAAACTGCCGGTAGGTGTGTCTACCTGCCCAGGCTCCAAAACATCCTATATAGCCTCATTTTTGACACTGCATATGCATACAGGCCACACGTGTGATCAAAGTGCATATGAGGAAGGCTGCATGCATGTGCGGAAGGCACGTGTGTGCTCACAGTTGCGAACTGGTGGTAAACTTAACTGAATTCCATCGTTGGCCATATTCCTATTTATCCTGAAGCAGGACAATCATTTGCAGTGGGAGACTGGTATCACCATCAAGAATATGATGATATGTCAAGACCAGTAGATAAATCAGACCAAGACCTCCACTGTGCAGGGAGGCTAAGGTTACTTCTGTTGAGATAGGTTATAATAAAACCTTGCAGATCTGATTGTGCTCTACCTCCTCTCCTTTTTATACACCAGTGAATTGGGGAGATACAGCTAGTCACTGACTTACAACAGTTCATTTAGTGACCATTCAAAGTTACAATGACACTGAAAAAAAAGTGACTTATGACTGTTTTTCACACTTACAACCATTGCAGCATCCCCATGGTCCTCGAAATTTGGATGCTTGGCAACTGACTCATATTTATAATGGTTGCAGCATCCCGAGATCCTGTGATGCCCTTTTGCAATGTTCTGACAATCAAAGTTCAATGGGAAAGCCAAATTCACTTAACAGCTGTGTTATTCACTTAAGAACTACCATGATTCACTTAACAACTATGGCAAGAAAGATTGTAAAGTGGGGCAAAACTCACTTAACAAATGTCTCACTTAGCAACCCAAATTTTGGTCGTCAGTCAAAAATTATCTGTATCTGAATATTATCTTGTTCTAGACTTAAATGTTTCCTGCCCCTTTTCCCTAGTTAATGGTTCCTTAATATTTCTACCTCCTTTACCTTCTATAGGATGCTGCTAGCTATAGTAGATGAGATTGATTCTTATCTGCTTATTTTGCAGTAGATCCCCCTCCCCCTTATATACAGATTATCCTTTTCTTCTCCCTTTCCTTTGTAAACAGAATTCAGCTCAGAAAATCTGGTTTCTTTCGTCTTGTTTTTGTTTTTGTTTTTCAAGAGTACTCTAATGCACCACAAAATGATACTCTGGTTTAGCGATCAATATTTCCCCTGCAGAATTCTCTAGAGTGGTGTTAGGAAATAGTGCTGTCACTTTTAATGGCTTCGGAATGGTGCTGTGTGGTCACTCAGTATCTATCTTAAACCACAGATGAGGTCAGTGGGCTCTAGAGTGGGAGTGGCCAGCTTCAATCCCTGATCCTCATATAGGACTCTGTTTTAATTTATTGTCCCCGAGAACTCAGGGGTAAAGTTAGCAGAAAAAATATGCAATTTTTCACTACATAATTTTCAGCTTTTAAAATCAAAATTATACTGGAAATATTATTTATTTATTAAACAAAGTTATATAGCCGACCAACTCACACATAGTGGATGCGGGGGGGGGGGGCATATGACATTCAAAACCCAGTTAAAATTCATGATTCAAACCCCACCTCACACCCCACCACTTGGCATGACAACAGAATCAAGCAAGCCACTTGATTGGTTCTGAATGGGGTCTCTAGACCCACTGACAGAACCATGTCTTTAAGGCCTTCTGGAAAAGCAACAAGATGGGGCCAATCTTCTCTCTGGAGAAATGATTTCCAAAGGGAAGGAGCTGCCACAGAGAAGGCCCTTTTCCTAGGTCTCACTACATGCACTTCCTTGATAGTTGAGATCAGCAGCATTCCATGCCTTCCTGATGGAGTGTGTAGATCGGTGTTTCTCAACCTTGGCAACTTGAAGATGTCTGGACTTCAACTCCCAGAATTCCCCAGCCAGCGAATGCTGGCTGGGGCATTCTGGGAGCTTAAGTCCGGGCATCTTCTACGT